CACTGTATACCAACATGTACTGTAAAGGGAGCAGCATGATGTCTGATCCACAGCTACATGAAGTGCTTGTTTGAGGTTATTGTTGCCAAAGGAACTTCAACTAGTTACTAAATCCAAGGGTTCACTTAGGTTTAACACCTGCACCGTTTTGTTGTTTAAGCACTGGGTTCAATAAAGACACAAAAATTACTGTTGTTTGTAATAGCCTAAGTCACATTGTGACATAGATGAAGCTTACATTTTGTCCAGACAAACTGCTCTTTGAAGATATTGTCCCAATAAAGTTGGTAATTCCTGACAGTAAACTAACCTCATTTCTCAGAGTACTTGAAATGCAGGCACCAAAGATATTTTTTCACAGTGTAGGTTAAGGACTGGAAAAAAAAAAAGATTTTTAGACAGGCAAGACAGCTAGTTTGTTTCGACATGGAATGACCCATGCCTTTTTCCTAAACATCTAACTTATAAATGCTTCATGACTGTCATGCACTATCATGTTTTATTTTGTTGTCATTTGTGTATATGTGTAAAACGTTCAAGTTGATGTAATGGACACTCGATTCTTGTCTCCAGAATGCACGAATTTGAAAGTAATTGATAAATCCAACTTGGTTTGTTAGGTCTCAAGAACCTATCCCAGAAACACTACACTGAAGATAACAAGAGGGGGAAACATCTAAGAGCATAATCTCCTTACAGGATTCAGGATCTCACTGTTCAGACTTGGATAGCTCTGATTCTTCACTGGACAAAAAGAAGAAGAGGACATTTCAGAAGGAATCTGAGTCTGAGTCTGACTCAGAATCAGATAGCTCTGATTCCTTTGTGGAAAAGAAGAAGAAGAAGTTGAGGAAGAAGAAGGGGAAGAAGGCTAAGAAGGAGAAAAAAAGCAAAAAAGAAGGAACACATCACTACCGTCAGCGGGGTATGTGAAGTATATTTGTTTTGTTTTTAAATCGAGTCATGTTAGAAAAAAAAGTTTGATTTTTTTAAAGGTATATCCTAGGATGTGGTGTAAAAGAGAGAGAGGTAACACTGTCAGAGATTGCCAACATTGAGATTCA